TTTTTTTTTTTTTTTTTTTTTTTTTTTTTTTTTTTTTTGTTGTTGTTGTTGTTGTTGTTGTTGTTGTTGCTGAGACAAAATACCCAACACAAAAAGTTAAAGGAACAAAGGTTTCTTTTTTTTTTAGATAGGGTTTCACTACACAGTTGAGGGTAGCCTTGAATGTACTGTATAGTCCAGGCTGGCCTCATAATCATGGTAATCCTCCTGCCTCAGCCTCCCAAGTACTGGGATTGTAGGCACATGCCATGATGCTTGGCAAGAAAGGATTTTTTTTTTTTTTACATATTTGGTACAGGGTCTTATTACACAGCTTTGACTTGTAGTGATCCTCCTGTTTTCAGCCTTCCCGGTGCTGGGATTACAGGCATGGGCCACCATGTCCAGTCTCAGCGGCCAGCTCAGTGCACCTGGGGGCAGGACTTACATGGCATGTGGTGCTGAGGATCAAACCCCAGTCCCTGCGCTTGTCAAAGCAAGTGCTTAGTTCACTGAGTTATCTCACTGGCCTTAAGAAATGATTCTTTTTAGCTCAGTTTGTGGAAATTTTAGTCTATAGTTGACTTGCTCCAGGGCAGGTTTACATAGCAGAGGGGCTAGTCCATACCGACAGTCAGGGAGACAGCCAAGCAACAAGCACTACGCAGCAGAAGCAGCAGCAACAGCTTTGTGTCCTGTCCAGGCTACACCTCCTATGATTGGTGCCACCCATATACGTAGTGTGACATCCTTAATCCCAGCGTCACACCCTCAGTCTACATTCACACACCTGAATACAGTCATCTTTGAGACTTTGGGGGGACATGCAGATACAGTTCTACCTTTAACAGGTTGGGTAGAAGGGCTCATGGGAAAAGTGGCTAAGCAGAGATGTGTTTGGGCTAACTCTTGGACCTTGGTACAATCTGTACACAGAAGAGGCTAAAGGCAGAGGAGTGGCATCAGGCATGTGGATGGTCTGTGTGCAGATTGACTGCCCAGAGCTAGGTGTGCATCAGTGCTGTCCTGGTGCAGCGGGAGCCCCTTGCACTGGCCCTGGACATTCAAGGGAGGGTAGTAAAGGGATACACCTGTAGCTGTGGGGGTGTCAGCTCTCTGGGTGGCATGATCAAGTGTCTGGGCCCAGAGGAGCCTGCAGAGAGACTGGGGGAGGGGATTAGGACTGCAAGCAAGAGGACTGTTAGGTGTGAGGGCAAGTGAGGAGGTCCATGGGGTCCCCACTGCAGGTGGTGGCCATAGCCCAGCCCACAGTGGCTTGCTTTCTGGCTTCCCTCTAGGGTTGTTTGTGTTTGAGGTCTTGGGAGCTGAAAGCAGTAAGTACTGACTGAGCTACATCCTCAGCATTTTTATTTTGTTGTTTTGAGATGTTTTCATTAATTTGTTCAAGCTGAGCTTGAGCACATAGTCCTCCTTCCTCAGTCTTCTGAGTAGCTGGGATTATAGGTGTGTACCACTGTGCCTGGTTCTTTAGTGGGTTAATAATTTCTAAAATGAGAAGTTCTCATAAAGATCAGTTAGAAGGATGTGGTTTTTCCTTGTGGTGCTTCGCCTGTCCTTCTTGCCCTCATTTCCTGGGGATGCCTTCTCTCTAGTTTGGCAAACACCCCAGGGCAGCAGCAACTGCTGTTTGGGCTTCTGGCCCTGTGCTCAGGTTTCTTTCCCCATTACTGTTTTGTGAGCTTCTTAAAGGGCAAGAACAGCATTTATATTCCAACCTTGAACTTTGGCTGCATGTTCACTTGTTATGTGAGAAAAAAGTGTCTTATTATTCGGGTATGAAGAAACAGAAGGTGTGGAGAAACAGACAGTGGATTCCTGCTCATTCCCACTTCAGTGTGTAGTGGCATTTTTCTTCATACCCATGTTTAAAATCAAGCCAGGTAAACACCTGTGTTCTTAGTGAGTGGGCACCAATCACTGAGTTCTGGTGGTCCAAAGTAAAGGACTCAGTGCATACAGTTTGAGAGTACATTTCTTTTTGTCTCCACACATAGTAATCCATCTTAGAGAAAGTATGGTAGACATTGTTCTCCTTTGCTACTTCTGGGAATTCTGATACTTCTAGTTTACTTCTGTTTTTTTCTTTTTTATTATTTTTTAATTTGGAAGGGAGGTGCTAGAGATCAAATCCAGGGCCTTGCATGTGCTGGGCAAGCACTCAACCACTGAGTTACACCTTGGCCCTTAATTCTGTTTTTATGCACTCCTAGGTAGAAAAAGGGTAATGTAACAGACACACCTGCTTCTTACCCTGGGTTCAGCTTTTTCCTGTCAGCGAGGGTGGGAGTTTGCTGCCCACCACTGCAACATGTCTGCCATCATTGACTTCTCAGAAGAGAGGATTTTTGGCTGGTGGTTTTAGAGGCTCTGGTCCACTGTCCATCTGTCCAGCTGACTTGCTGTAGGCCATGGTCTGGGTGCTGGCTGGCAACAGTGTGGAAGCATGGCTCAGCATTGCTCGCCTCAGGGCCAGAAGTGAGAGAAGGGCAGAGGGAGGTCCTATTCCCTCTAGGGCACAACCTAGTGACTGAGGACTGTTTACCAGGCCCTGCCTCCCCCAGGCCTGGGAGTTGTACTCTGCAAACCACAGAGTACAACTGTTAAGATTTAAGAGTTTTGGGAGTTGTACTTTGTGGTTTGCAGACTACAATTCCCAGGCCTGGGAGAGGCAGTGGTACTCTGCAAACCACAGCAGTGTTGGTCCTGAAACAGCCTACGTGACACTGAGCATCTTGATGTATTCTGTAGGTACCAGTGACACAAGCTCTCCACCTGCTGTGTGACAGACCCTGGGGCAGCAGGGATCAGGACAGCACCTATCTTCAAAGATGACAGGAGTCCCAGAGTATCTCAGTTACTTTTTACTCATTGCTGGTTTTACTCCTTTCCCACTCACTAAGAACACAGGTATTTACCTGGCTTGATTTTGGGACAAATATCCAATACCCAAAATTAAGAAAGGAAAGGTTTATTTAGCTTACAGTTATTGGAGGCTTCAGTCCATACTCTGCTGGCTTCAAGGAAGGTGGCAGCAGTTCATGACAGCAGAAAACAAGGAAGAACAGAGGTGGGGCAGCAGCTTAGGCCTCTATCAAGCCTCTGTCTCTTCCTCCCATGCTGACTGTGAAGATCAGAACTCCTCCAAGAAAGTGGCATGGCTGCTGGGAAGATCTGAGATCCAAGCTCCTCCAAAGTGGTGTGGCTGCGTTGATCAAGCACCTCCAAGGAAGTGGGGCACTCAGAATCCTTTCTTAACCCCTTTATATGCTCTATAAATGCTCAGTCACTCTAGGGTGGGCCCTCCCTGCCCTGGAGCCTGGAATCACCAAGTGGATCTAACCAAGCTTCCTACATCTCAAATTGACACAATGTATCAATCATCCCAATCCACCCCTTGTCAAATTGGCAACTACAGATATATTTGTTTAAACCAGTCTCACTATACAAAGATGTGCTTATTGACATCTGGTAAATTGGATATTATAATACATCTTTAGTAGTCCTTAAGAATCACTCTTAAATCTGTTAACATTATATTACATAAGAAGCAAAACATTTTGCCCCTGGCCCCCAAAGACTCATGCACATCCCATTATGTAAAAAGTACTTTATCTGTAAGAGTAGCCAAAGTCCTAACAGTTTCAGCATTGCTGAAAAGTGAAGAGTACCAAGATCTAAGGCAAACTCTTAGCTGTGAGCCCCTGTACAAATGCAGAGTTAAACACATTCAACATTCAAAGGCACAATATAAGGGCCAGCCAAATAGCTCAACGGATTAAAGCACCTGCAAGCAGGTGCAGGGGCTGGAGGTTTGATCCCCGGGCCTGCCATGCTGGCCCCGCCCCCAGGGCATGCTGAGATAGAAATTGAGACTGGGCGTGGTAGTGCATGCCTATAATCCCAGCTCTTGGGAGGCTGTAAACAGGCGGATCACTACGAGTCCAATCTAGTAGTGAGACCCTGACTGAACACCCTATAGACCCTTCCCTAAAATACAAAAACAAAAACAAAAAAAATATAAACCTTATCATTACAAAAGGTATACACAGGAGGATGCAAACTATTGGGACCAAAACAAGTCCAAAATCCAGAAGGGCAAAGATTAAGTCCTATAGTTGCACGTGGAACATCCAAAACAACCTGTAATGAGTTGTGGGCTCCAAAAGCCTTTCATGGCTCCACCCCTATGGCACTCATGCTGGAAGCTCTCATGAGTTTTATGAGGCTTGCCTTGCCCTCTCCTTGTAGCTTTTAGACAATCTGTTTCTGGCTTTTTTAAACTTCTGAGGTTTTTATTGAATAGGCTATCCATAAGCACTTCCTGGCGTTTCCTTTCTAGCCAAACTCACAACATTTTAAATCATTCTGCTGGACTTTCTGCTCCTTATTCTCAATGTATATCTGACTAAAAGCCCCCAACAATGGCCATGTCATTGCCTCAGCTTTACATGTTGCCTTCTCAGGGGCACATTGTTTGGCCTCCCAGGCCTTCTGAAATCTAGGTGAAAGCCTTCTTAACCTCAGAACTCCTTCACTCTGTGCCTAAAACCAATGCCATGTGGATGATGCCAAGGGCTGCTGCCAGCTGGAGCAGTAACCAGGCTTTCCCCTTTCTTGGCTGTAGAAGTCAAATGCTTGGCTTGTTGAGTACTCCGACCCTGATTCTGAGAAACAAATTCTCTATGCCAGCACCATTCTGGAACCTGGTGTGGCTGCCATTTCCATTGTGGAACATGGAGCTCTGCACCTTTCTCCTCAGAGTAAAGTCCTTCACTCTTGTGATATAGAGGCTGCAGAGGGTGAGAACCTGCCGTCTTCTATGATGCCCTTAGGACATTTTTTCTACTCCTGTTCCTCCTAGGCAGTGGAGATCTCAGCTGTCTTTATAGTCCACATCCTTCCTGGTGCTTCCTTTCTGGCCAAACTCATGACATTTTAAATCATCCTGCTGAGCTCTTTGCTCTTGATTCTCAATATATAGCTGATTAAAGCCCTCAACAATAGCTGTGTCATTGCCTCAACATTCAGCTGCCTTGAGGGTTTTTTTTGTTGTTGTTGTTTTCTTTTGGTAAGATTGACTACTCCATTGCACTTAATCTCAGTCTCAGGCAGTCTTGGACACAAGACAAAGTAGACAAACTTTCTGCTAAGACATAACATAAATCATCCATAGTCCAACAACCAGTGCAGTCCTCAGCAGAAACCTCCCCAGTCTGGTCTTTACAGGCAGGATTTCTAGAAGCCTTTTGGTCTTGTGAGCTTTGATCTGAAGAACTGAAGAACTGAAGATGTTCCAGCTTTTCATTTGTAGGCAACATCTCCAAACCTTTCGTATCTCTTCCCACAAGCCATTCCCCAACACTCAGAATCCATATTGTCAGATATAGTCACAGCAATGACCCCACTTCTGGTACCAAATTCTGTCTGAGTTACTTTTTACTCATTGTTGGGACAAAATACCCAATACTGAAAATTAAGGAAGGAAAGGTTTATTTACTTCACAGTTAGTGGAGGTTTCAGCCCATACTCTGCCGGCTCCAAGGCAGATGGCTGCAGTTCATGGTAGCAGAAAACAATGAAGAGCAGAGGAGGAGCAGTAGCTTCAGCCTCTATAAAGCCCCTCTCTTCCTTCCATGCTGATTGCAAAGATCAGAATTCTTCCAAGGAAGTGGTGGTGGTTGCTGTGAAAATCCAAGATCCAAGCTTCTCCCAAGTGGCATGGCTGCATCAATTAAGCTCCTACAAGGGACTGGGGTGTGCAGAAACCTTCCTCAACCCCTTTATATATCCTATAAATGTTGAGTCACTCTGGGTTGGGCCCTCCCACCCTAGGGTGGGGCCTCCTCACTCTAGGACATGGAATCACCAAGTAGATCCATCCAAGCTTCCAGCATCTCAAGTTGACCCAGTGTATCAGCCACCACACAGAGTGACAAGTGCTATGCTAAGGACTGGGCTCCCACATGGTATGGGAGGGACTTCAGGGCTACAGACTATCTGTTCGTCCCCCTAAAGGGATGCAGCCTCTAGTTCATCAACAAAACCCCAGGCAAGCTGACACAGATCTGGGGGTAACAGCCAGTGCCCCTCTGGCCTGCTGCTGTCACTGTCGCCAGCCCTTTGCCTACACAGACCAGCTACTATGGCTTTTGATGTTCTGGGAGGGGGTGGTGAGAAGAAATGCTACATTCTCTTTGGGCAGAGAATGAAATCTAGGTTTTGGCTAAAAGCCCTGGTGAGAAGTGCCAGTATTTACTAATGCTTCTTTATATGCTGACATTTCCTGAGTATCTTGATTTCCTGTTTAAGACTGAAAGTCCATGGTTACCCTCCTTTTTATTTTTAGCACCCTTACCCAACAGAGGACGAGAAGAAGCAGATTGCTGCTCAGACAAACTTGACGCTACTTCAAGTCAACAACTGGTAAGGCGTGCTGCTTTTGGGTCCTGCACCTTGGGGTGTGGGGGACACAGTTGAACTGTTGTTGCAGTATGGGAGTGTGTTAGCAGCAATGCTTTGTCATCAGTGTGCTGCATTGGTAGCAGATACCTGAGGGCCAGCAGTGCACACTTCACTGGGTACTCTTGCCCACATCCCCCCCTTTTTAAAAAAAATTTATTTTATTTTATTGGGAAACAAATAGCAATGAAACACTTTCAAAACTGATTAATAGGACAGTTTCAATAATTAATTCGTTGTACATTGTTATCTTCTTAGTGGTTATCCATAGCACAAGATGCAGACAGGATATCCTGTCCAAATACTATTAGTACAAATCTTTCTTCTCATTGAATTAAGTGAAAGTAGCTGTATATCTATCCTAACTATTCTGTATATACAGATACAAAATGGTCCTTCCTTTGTATCCCCTTTTTTTGTTTAGTCCTGTCAGAAATGGATATTCCATTGGCATCTAAATTCTATAGGTGCCCACATCCCCTTTGCCCAACCAGAAAGGCTTCCTATGTTCTTCACAATGGAGATGTTTCAGTAGACTGCGTCTGCAGGCAAGTGTGGTGACAGTGTAGTGTCCTGGCATCTATGAAGCCTCTATCCCTTTTTGGAACTTAGTGCCCCTTAATGTCACTTCAGAGATGGTATCCCAGCTGTCTGTTCCCTGGGGGCATTCCAAGGAGGCTATCTGTGTTTAGATGGAAACATCCTCTTCCCATTCTGGGGTTACTTTTTTTGTTTTAAGACAAAATTGAGCTATGCAGTTCAGGCTGGCTTTCAACTCATTATGTAGATCATACTGGCCTCAAACTTGCAACAGTCCTCCTGGCTCGCCTCCTGAGCACTGCAGTTATAGGCATGTGCCACCACACCTGGCACCTGGGGTCACATTTTTGTGGACATGTGGACCCTGACCATGTGTTTTTTCCCATGAGAGCTGACACTGTGAAGGGCAGGAGAGCAGCTCCATTTAGATTGTAAGTCATTTGTTCCATTTTTGTTTTGTTTCATAACTTGTTGAAGTTCCAGTATCCACAGTGAAGTCTTCCTACTTATGCATTTATAAGTGCTGCATTAAGTATTCATTGTCTTGCATTCATTTAGTCTATTATTTTTCATTTGGGTAGCAGCGGCAGACCATACTACCTTGCCAGGGCCAGTGCTGCTGTCTCTGAGGCACAGTGAACATGGCTCCCCAGTGCCCACCATGGCTGACTCTTACCAATAGTTGATGTGAAGCTAGTGAAGGGCCTCATTCCTCTGAAAAGGAGGCTGGAAATATTCTTTAGGCTCTGTTGGTTTGTTGTTTCTGTATCAGGCTGGAGATGATGTGTGAGTCTCTGACAGGTCCCAACTCATTGAAACTTTTATGGGACAGTGGTGAGTTTTCCTTCTACTGCATTTAATGTGCAGCAAGTCCCCCCATAGGAGGGCATGGAGTAGAGATGGGGGATGGCCACATACAAGATGTGGTTGTCCCTATCCTCAGAGCTTGACTCCCCTTGTACCTCCCTGTTATATTCTCCCATTTAACAGGAGTAGCCTATGCATCTGAGGATGGAGATCGAATGAGCTCACCTTCTTTTGTTAGGCATTGCCTGGGAAGTGTGTCCTGCCTGCCTCCCAGCTTGTAATTTCTGTTGAACCCTTTGTGTATGGATCATGGCTAAAGTGGCAGAGCAGCCCAAGTTGGTTCAGGCATCATCATTGCCCACATACAAGTGCTATATTGGCTGGATATCCAAGACAGGTGGCTGGCCGAGGACTTCAGCCTTCTAAAATTAGCTCCTCATTTGCCATAGTCTTTGGAGAAGATGACACTGTCCCCAGAGTCCTGCTTTCTGGCTGCAGGGCCCACCAGCCAGAGGCATGACCTTACTGAAGGGTACAGCATATCACAGCTGCCTAATGCTGTGATGAGATACGGGGCACAGAAAGCCTCGTCTCTGTCTCATTTTTGTTCCTTAGAGAAAGAAACATCAGGTACCTAGATCTGTGTCATCTATTTGCGTAAATCACATCTAACTCACAGATACATGGCAAATCACATGAGGGCAGAGAAACGCCATACAAAGGGCCACAGAAGAGTTGCGCTCACTGAAGAGTTATTTGTATACAGCAAGTCGTGTTTTTCTGGAGAGTTAGGTGATCACCATGGTGTCTCTTCTCTGAAGTATTTGTTGTGGTGGAGAATGAGTTTGTGAAAACAGGATTTTTGAGACAGGGTCTCACTATGCAGTTCAGGCTGTCCTTGGTAGCCCAGGCTGGTCTCAAACTGGCACCAATCCTTCTACCTCAGCCTCCCAAGTGCTGGGATTATAGGTGTGTACCACCACATCTGGCCCTGCACAAGATCTTCAAAAAGGTCACTTTGACCTCATTGTATCTTTGTCTACACATAGGTTCATCAATGCTAGAAGACGAATTCTGCAGCCAATGTTGGATTCCAGTTGTTCAGAGACCCCAAAAACAAAGAAGAAAACTGCTCAGAACAGGCCAGTGCAGAGGTTTTGGCCAGACTCTATCGCATCAGGTGTGGCCCAGGCACCGCCCAGCGAGCTGACCATGTCAGAAGGTATGGGCAGGCGGAAGGCGTGAAGGTGGATCACACCAAGCCAGGCACCCCAGCCCCTTGCACATCTGCATCAGGAGGAGGCTTTGTTGGGGCTGTGTTAAAGGGAACATGGACTAGGTACCGAGCAGTGCCAGGAGTACAGCACTGTAGCTGTGTCTCTGTTCAGATGCCAAGACCAGCTCTCTGGTCTGAAGGGTGCAGCATATCACAGCTGCCTAATGCTGTGATGAGATATGGGGCACAGAAAGCCTTATCTCTGTCTCATTTTTGTTCCTTAGAGAAAGAAACATCAGGTACCTAGATCTGTGTCATTATCTATTTGCGTAAATCACATCTAACTCACAGATACATGGCAAATCACGTGAGGGCAGAGAAACCCCATACAAAGGGCCACAGAAGAGTTGCCCTCACTGAAGAGTTATTTGACCAGCCTCGGTCCGTGGCTCCCACTGGGCTCCCTTCTAGCTTTGGGTGCACACAGTGGGCATGACCTTCCGGCACCTGAGGGCTTAGCTTCCTGCGGGCCATTCCTCTGCCTCTCACTTGGGTTCTTGCTTTTGACTGTCCTTCTGCCCCTGTCAGCTGCCACCATTCTGATATGTTTAAGGAGCCTCTTTCTGTTTCCACAAGCTTTTCAATTTTGAATTGGCTTGTGGGCTTTTCTTCAATGTCAGGTCTCCTCTGATGCCCCGGCTGGCCTTGAATTCCTAGGCTTAAGTAATCCTTCTGACTTAGCCTCCTGAGTAGCTGGCAATACAAATTCACACCTCTGTGCCTAGCTGTGTACATATGTTATGCACATGCACATGAATCCCCCATGCATGTGTGTGTATGTATGTGTACATATGTTTGAAATGCTAGCTCACTGTGCTTGTTTTTTTCACATGGCAATATATAATTACCAAGCTAGGAAATTAGACCCTTTTTTCTTTTCTTTTTGTAGTGCTACAGATTGAGCCCAGAGCTGTGTGCATACTAGGCAAGCACTGTAGCCTGAGTTACCCTCCCACTCAGTTTTTCTTGGGCTCTCTTTTCCTGGGCTACCCCTTGGCCTAGTCCTTTGCAGGACTTCAGTGGCTTGGGCATGTTAGGTAGTGACTGTGTCACACTGTTACTGATACTTTTCTCAGTTTCTCTGTGTTTGAGTTTGGACAGTTGCTATTCCTTTCCTTCCACTTCACTCGTCTTTGCTTCTGAAGTGTTTATTCTTATATAAATCCCAGCAAGCTTGTTTTTCATCTTAGGCATTATACTTTTCATCTTTCTAGAAGTCCATATTTTCCACAAGTCTGCTAGGTTTTGAACATACAGAATACGGTTGCAATATCTGTTTTGGTATCTGTCCCTGGTAGGCCTCACATCCCTTTTTGTTTTTCTTTTGGTCCAATAAATGACAGGTCAATTTCCCATGCCCATAGCACAGTGCTCAGGGCAATCAGTTTATTGAGAGAAAAGGTATGTTCTGGTTCATACTGCTGGAGGTTCCAGTCAAGATCGGGTGCCCAGTGTTTGTTCCTCTGGTAGGTGCGGTGCATCCTGGTGAGTAGAGAGTGGTGGAGCAGGGGCCTACGGCCCCACCTCTCATAGGTCTGGTCACCTTCCATAATGCCACCTGAGGACCAGGTCTCAAACATGAGCTCTCAGGGTCACTCTTCCAAGCATAGCAAGTGCTGTCCTCTCCATTCTCCCCCTCCCCCAAAAAGAGAATACATACAGTGGGGAAAGATTCTGAGCAGAGTGTCCAGGGAGAGCAACATTTCCCTTCCAGCCTGTCCCTCCTCTCCTTAGAGATGGTAGATTCGGTCCCTGTACTGCTGCTTTATTCTATGCACAGGGACAAAGGTGTGAATGTCTTACTCTTGAGATGTGACCCAAATACTAGTCTGTCTGTGGTACTGTTCCTTCTTGCTGTCATCACTCACTAGTCCCTCTTGGGGTTTTGGCAAGTTAGTACTTGCATACCTGCTGTCTTGTGTTTACATGCAGCTTGGTGTCCCTGGCCAATCTGGCCTCTGGGTCTCGCTCATGGACATTTGGTTGGTTTCTGGCTCAGTGGCCAGGCTGAAGCGGGCAGGTGTGTGGCAAGGTTTGCTTTTCCTTTTAGATTGCTCTTTCTTGTTCTTGCCTTAGTTTTTTCTTTGTTTCTTATTTATATTCTCCCTGTACATCTTTCTCTTGCTCTCCTGCTTATATCACCCTGGTCTCAATGGAGGCCATCTTCAGATGAAGACCTATTCACTAAATGTGGGTCAGGCTGAGCCCTGGAGCAGTTTCTCAAATCCCTGTGGTACTCTGGAAACACTCCAAGGTGTCTGACCTGTGGGTCAGCCCTGGGAGCAGTGCCCGGATGAGTGCTCCGGTGCTCTTCTCCTTGTGCTTCTGTGACATCCTGTGCTCTGCTGCAGGTGCTGTTGTGACCATCACTGCGCCCGTGAGCATGAACGTGGATAGCCTGCAGTCCCTGTCCTCAGATGGGGCCACCCTGGCTGTGCAGCAGGTCATGATGGCAGGCCAAAGCGAGGATGAGTCCGTGGACAGCGTGGAGGAGGATGGGAGCGCACTGGCACCCAGCCACATCAGTGGGCTTGTGCTGGAGAACAGCGACTCATTGCAGTAGGAGCCTGCCGGGGGCACCACCTCGCTTTTTATAGTTTGCACAGCAAACATTTTACACAGTTTTATTTCTAATATGTTTTATATGTAGATATAGAAAGTGCACTTTTGTATTTCATAGTCAGCTTAAAACGAGCGTCTTTGCTGGTGCAGCGACTTCTTTCAAATGTGTGCGTGTGTGGGTTTTTAAAGAAATTCTTTAAGGGTTTAACGATAGAACTGTGACGAATGACCCCCACCTCGAGTCCCTAATTAGATTAGGAATAGTGCTGCCGTTTTCTAAACAATTATGCCGTTTTCATTGAGTTCTGCAGCTTGCAGCAGATGTCAGAGGGCTGCTGTGTCGGTGTCGCCCAAGGACAGGAAAGATGCTGCAAACCTGAAGCCACTAGCAAGGTGGCTTTGGCCTGCAGCAGTCTGTGTGTGGCGTCACTGAGAGCACTGGTGACCACAGTGTGCCTCAGTTCCCTCATGGTCAGCGAGCCTGTTTCATTTGCTATATATAAAAAAGAAACTCCTATTTTTACCTTGCTGGAATTATTGGATAAAAAGCTATTTTTATAAATTCGTTATGAATTGGATTATGACTATATTGAGGATAAAAAATTTCTAGAGAAGAAACAATACATGCTTGCATTTCAATTTGGAATGTTCTGAATTGCCCAAATTGGAGACCCTTCCCACACTGGCTCTTGTTCCATGGTCTCCTGCTCTCCTGGATGGTTTGCATTTATTGCTGGATGAGATGACGTCGTAGTGAAACTTTGGCGTCACCAACTCTCTGTGTATGCGCAGTGCTCATGCTGTGTACACATGGTCTACACAGGCACTGGAGGGTATGTGCTCAGCAGGACTTGGGATCAGGGAAGCAAAGGAGGCAGTAACCAGTCAGAAGCTCTCACCACACCTACTCCAGTCTAAATTTGACCTCAGTTACACGGACACTTTGCTGTGTTAACTGTATTTTTTAGGGTTTTTTTTTTTTTTTAGTCAGAATATGTTATGCGTAGAATGTTTATTATAAACTAATATAAAATGTTCTCTACCGCACTGGCTTAAGCTGGGGTAAATTCAGACATCCATGCTGTGTCATGTAATTGGCAGATGCAAATAGGGTCACAGTGCTAAGCTAAACTGTGACAATGTCATGACAGCAGACCCCACCTAGTCGCCTCACACACAGTTGTTTTTCTGTTACTTGTTGCTTCAGAGTTCCCTGAGCCCTCTGCACTTATTGGATCGCCTGAGATTTGGAATAATCTGGAGATTTCCATTTCCTGGTGACACATGAACCAGTAGGCTGGGTTTCATTTTCTTTGGTTTTAACTTGTGTTTTGTTTACTCAGGAGCAGATACTTTTCTCAGAGAGAAAACCAGCCACCTGCCTTGTGTAGCATGTGTCGGTGTCATGGACAGGCACCTGCAATCCCCAGCTGACAGAGGACAGTGCAGGTTGCCATGGCCACCAGCTCTTGTGGCTCAGCAATACTGACTGGCATAGACCAGGGTTATACGAGGGACATTGTCAGGCAGGCCGATTGTTTTTTCTGAAACTGATCTCCCCCCCAAAATATATGAAGATTAGCCATGGGGGAGCACATTCCAGGTATCCTGGCAGGCAGAGAGTTCTTTAAACCCATTTCAGGAGCTTTGACTCACAGAAAACCTTGATTATCAGCTCTTTTGGTGAGAGAATAACATTTTTAATCAGCCACTGCATAACTTATTTATAAATAGTTTTCAATATTTTAAGTCAGGTCTGCACAAGCCTAAGAGATCATTTTAACTTTATTTAAATGCCAACTTCATTGGACTTCTTAAAACTCAGACTTGGGGGAGTCCCAGCTGCCCCTTGCCCAGCCACCTGCTCCTGCCAGAGCAGGGGAAAAAACGCGCAGAATGTGCTCCCCTGAGAGGCCATCCTGTCTGCCCTGGTGTGGAGGGCAGTGTGACCGGCCGTGTGGAGACCTCGCTGCTTCAGGCTACTCTGGCTGGGATGTGAACTGCTGCTGAGAGACACAGCTGCCTTCTCCAGTGGAAGGAGGGTTTTTTCAGCTCTGAACTCTGTTAGCTAACTTCAGAAGAATGAGATACAAATGGTAAGGGAGAGAGCCCTGTGTCGTGGCCTGAGTTCCTTTCTCCTCTCCGTGTGTGACAAGTGCTGTTAAACAGCGTCCACATGGCAAGCTCTTCTGGCTCAGGATCACTGCCCAGCCTGTTCGTTATCAGCGTGCAGTGCAGAGGTGCCTGTGCTGCAGTCCTCGGTCAGGCCCTGAGGTCTGAGAGACCTTAGAAGTACAGCTGTTTGCACTTCATTTTAAATAGCCAGATTCTGTTTGATCCTAGTCTGGTCTGTCCTTGGTAAATTTCTCCCTCAGAACAGCACCTTCGAGTGTGTCCTGAGACCCCCAGCCAGCCATTGTCATCCCTGCTGTTCAGCTCACCCCAGCAGACCCCAGCTGGTTGGCTCAGCTCTCCCGTTTTTGCGTCGAGATAGATAAATAGAAGCGTATATCCAGTATGCAGCGTGGCCTTCACAGCCGGGGGCTCCAGGGATGGCTGTACAGCTGGTGGAGGGCCCATTCCCTGCCGAAGGCCCTCCCTGGCAGTTAGTGACAGAACTAACTCAACAATCTGCCTTTTTTTAGTTATGTTCGGTCTTTGAAACTGACAATCTTTAAAATGTGAATACTGTAACAATGTTTTCTTGGATTGTTGTCTTTAAAAGGATTTTTGTGAAGCAATTGATTTATCAAAGCAAAAACATTAAAAATAGAAACATGCCTTATGGATGTTTTATTTTGTAAAAGCTCATGTCACCAAAAGTTGCTTTCCATCTAGGCAAATATGCGGGTAGTGACATGCTATACGTTGACACCTATGCATCTTAAAACACAGCCGGCACTACACGGGCTCTTCAGATCTGCTGCATCGTCAAGACTCTCCTCCCATTGCTTATCTCAGTTGGTCACTGTTTTCCAGCAGAAAGTTCTGAAGAGGTTTTTTGGTTGTAGTTTTCCACAAACCTGATTATTTTGGTAATAACAAGAGGAAAGGTAAGGTAGAAACTTCCATGGCACATGTTGGGCATCAAACCTTCCTGGAGGGGTTTTCTGCACCATGTGGGGTGCCATCCACCCCAGCAACCATCGTTGCATAGAGGCAGGCAAGCAGGCGCATGGAGCCAGTGGAGGGGGGTGGGAGGTGCGTCTGAGACTGTGAGCTGTGGTGAATGGGGCGGAGCACTGTGAGCGCATTGTTTAAAGAGGTGTTTGGATCCATAAGTGGGTCTCCCCCTCCTTGAGGCCAGAGGTGGGGGAAGGCGTGAAATATATCCATGTGGGACCTCAGATCGTCATCAAGCTCTGGGTGAGGAGCTTCATTGAGAGGGAAAATTCAATTTCTGACATTTATTCCAGCAGCTCTAAAGTGGTGCCTATAAATACAAAGATGTGTCTGCCTCTTCAGACAGATAAGTAAATGAATAATGAGCTGTAAATCCACACAACTAGGAATCCTTGTTTGGCTTGTTTGGCATTCCTATTTTGTGGGCTTTGACGCTGTAGTATATTTCATGTTTGGTCATAAGCCCCTGGGGCACTCTAAGAGGAAATCCTTAGTGCAAATCAGATCTTTCTAGCTTCACTGAGACCTGGGATCCCCCTGCCAAAATGTGCAGGCCCTAGGGCTGCAGCACCTAAGCACTCATGCGTGGGCGGAGGCCAGGCTTGGGAGATGCTCAGGGCCTCTCACCACTGGTGCCCCCAAGGCCTGGCTGTCCTACCTGGACAGTTGGTGGCAACCCTTCACATGCAGCTGGTGTGTCGAAGGCAGCATCTAACAGGTGCTTTCACTGTTTATCTTATTGTCTGAACTTAAGACTTAAGCTACCTATAAACCAGTAATGAAGCCGGGATTCTCTCTCTCTCTCTTTTTTTTTTTTTTTAAACATTTTATTTTTTTTTAATTTTTTTTTTTTACATTTATTGTGTGTGTGTGTGTGTGTGTGTGTGTGTGTGTGTGTGTGGCCAGCTCAGCCCACCTGGATGCTGGGGGATTGAACCGCGGTCCCGCTTCTTTGCCAAGCTTGTTCCAAGAGGTGCTTTAGACCACTGAGCCATCTCTCCAGCCTGGGATTCTCTCTTCCCAGCCTGTTTGGAAAGGTGATTCAAATGGCAGTGTTGCCTTCAGTTGCTCTGACATTTTTAGAAAATGATTTGTAGGAAACTCAGGTATATTTTTAAATATTGCGCTGTGTAGTTGCTGAGCTTTCTCCTGTACCATGGGCCATGGCAGCCTTGTCGGCACTGTGTTAAGTGCTTCCTGGCAACTGTGGTATATGTGGGTGGCACCCTGTTCTGGGGTTTAGGAGTGTTTTGCTTGCTGTGCTGCCACAGCCGGAGCAGCAATGAGATGGTGGTGGATGTGGAGACACCAGCAGGGATCAGAGGCAGGACCAGTAGTGCTCGGCGAGCCAGCTTCAGGGGGGCGAGCGGGGTCAGGCTGTGGGAGCTCATCGCTGTCTGCAGGGGTGAGGAAGACCCCAGACACACCTGTGCAAGGGCAGCACTGGGGATGTGCATGGGGGACCCTGTGGCTTGGCAGGGAGGACCTCCTTTCTTCACATTTAAAGCAGGAGGGACTTAGGGCTGTGGACAAGTAGATGCCTGGAAAGCATCCACTTTGGTAGAAAAGCAAAACCACAGTGCACTGAAGGGACAGTGACAGGGTCCTCCGGGTGCTGTGCTGTTCTGGCTGTGGATGTGCACCTAGGGACCGGTGTCCGGGTGCAGACAACATGGTGGTGCAGTGTCTGGATTAGAGAACTGTGCTGCTGAGCCCTGCGCCCTGCACTTGAGCTCAGCCAGGGTCACCTTGTATGGACTCAGAAGCCAGCTAAGGAGACCTGAAGCAGCCTGGGTAGTACTGTGTGGTGGCCAGCTTCGACACAGGGTGGGCAGGAAGCTGTCAGATACAGACACCGATGTGTACTGTGACCCTTTGATGACCCTGGCCACAGCAGCCATCCTTGGGTCTGGTTATGATAGAGGCTTTATCTGTGGGTACTTGGTGGACTCTTTGTTGCTGAGTGCCTTGCAGTTGTTGAGGGAAGGGCATGCCCTTGTGGGCCACACAGGCTGGCTTTGTGCTTAGGTGTCATCCTTCAAGCACTGTGCATGTCCACTTCCTCCTGCTGCAGCTGTAGCCAGCTGTTCCATATCTGTGGAGTTCTTACCATAGCACCCTGCACACCAGGGTCATGGCTCAGTGTCTGCTCTCCCCTGCTCCTCTGCACAGAGGCCAGTCTTAGTCCACCTCTCCTGGCATCAGTCCAGGTGGATGCTGGCCCTGGGTTGTGGGCACATGTCCATTCTGCTTCACCCCTGCATGCTGCTTTGTATCTGGACAGGGCCCACCCGCAAGGTCTGCACTGCCCAACACCTACCGAGCCCCTGTGCTCTCCAGGCCCACACTGACCACCATCATGCCCACTGTGAGTGCTCAGTGACACTGGAGCTGTCTTTTCCCTGCCTCGTTGTAGCTGCCTCTCTTCCTGTTCTTGTGCCCTGCTCCATCCCTCTGTGGAAGTTGTTTCCTTGGTGGTCTTGCAGCTGCGGCTGTCTGAGCTCAAGGACAGCTTACATTCTATAGATCAGCTGCCTTCTCTCCTCGTTAAGCAGCAAGTTCTCTGGCCTTCTGGATCATGACAGAACTGGAGCAACGAAAAACAGCCTTTCATGCCGGGGAGATAGCTCAGGAGAATAAGTATTTGCCTGGCCAGTGCAAGGGCCTGAGTTCAATCCCCAGTTCCACCAAAAAAAAAAAAAGTTCCTCAAAGGCACATGCATGGAGGGGAAGACAGCAGAAAGTCCTGCCCCTCCTGGGACAGGTAGAGCCAGGGCCAAGAGTCATGGGCCCTGTGCAAGCAAACCTGAATGCATCATGGGGACCTGTTCCCAAGCCTGGAGCACACCAGGTCTGTACTTGATCAGAGGGATGTGGGGATGGGGACAGGAAAGGAAATTTGGGTCCTCAAGTGAGTTTGCTTTGGAGTGGAGCATCACATCAGAGCTCCCACCTCTGATCCCAGAATGCCCCAGCCCCAGCCCATGTGCTTCTTGAGCCCTGCCCTGCAGGGAAGGCTCTACCCTGGGTCAGGTGGGCAGGACAGGTGATTCCCAAACCTGGAGGTTACGTAGCACTGGGTCCCAGCACTCTGCTGGAAGGAGACATGTGCCACATGACAAGACTGCTGACAACTGCCTGGCACAAAGGTGCACTCAGCCCACTGCTGCCTCTGCTGCCACCTCCCACCTACCTTGGGCAGCTGCAGGACACAAAGCCCCCTGGGTGCTGCAGAGCTCTCTTGTGAAGGCTCTGTCAGCAGCTGCAGGGGCTGGCCAGATCACCACCGGTTCTGCTGTGCTGCGTGTCTGCCTTAATGTGGACTTATCTCTGTCCATGGTGCTGGGCACTGCTGGAGCCCCGAGAAGATGCCCAACCCAGCCCACTCTGGTATTAGAGCCTTGAACGTGTGTCCACATGGCCTGGGAGTGCGGCACATGGCCCCTACTGCGGCCCCTAGTGGGTTCCCTGGGAGATGCACTCTCTTTGAGCCTCCTGCGGCCTTGTCTCCCTTCCCTGGTTCCATCCTGAGGGGTTGGGCACTGTGGGTGGAACATTTTTCTGCACTGGAGGATCTGATGACACCACTCAGCATGAGTCCTGGTGGTGCAGGCACAGCCTGCTGTAAGGACAGCCATCATCATGCTGGCCCAGGTGCGTCCAGTGGGATCTCCCAGCTAGCAGGACCAGGAAGGCACCCCACCTGTGGAAAGGGCCTCAGCAGCAAGGGATTACAGTTCACCTTGGCTTGAGAGCCTGCCCCGCACCTGTTTGGAAATACCCATGAAGGCCCTGGGGGCCAGGGCCCACAGTAGTCACCCCCAAGGACCAGGCAGGATTGTCCTTTTGGTCCTTGGGACATCTGTTTCCACTACATGAGAAAAGCTGCCTCGCCCATAACTGCCTTCTAGGAGCTCAGCCCCACTGTGTCTTGCGGGACCTCTCAGGACACAGGCTGCTGCTGCAGGGTTACCAACCTGCTGGCACTGCTCTAGGGTCGCTGCTGAGACACTGGTGGCTGGCATAGATCCACCTGCAGAAACAAAGCCACAGCTTTTTGGGGGATTTTGTTTTTTGCTTTATTTTAAAATTTTTCTTACTAGTCCATGTGTGCAGTCTAGAATGTTTCCATTTCCTATGTGGAGTTGGAACACTCACAGAACATGGCTTGATGATTTTTCACCTCCTTCCCTCCTCACTACTCCCTCCATCCACTTCTCCTTGGAGAGCATCTGCCTCCCTCTTTCCTATTATCCTTTATTTTGCTTTTTATACCTTGAGTTTCACATTAAGAGAAATCATGTGACATTTAAACTTGCGTGCCAGATTTATTTCGCTTTATGATCTTAAGGCATATCCATTTTCCTACAGATGACCCATGTATCCTTCCTTAAGGAAGTAACACTCATTGTATACAGATACATGTTCATTATTCATTCATCTACTGCTGGACATACAGGCTGCCCCTAAGATTTAGCTGTTAGGAACTGTGCTGCTACAAACATGGGTGTATGTAGATCACTTCTGCTCTTTCAGGAAGATACCTGGAAGGGGACCAGCTGGACCAAATGGAATTTCTCTCCTCTCTTGTCTCTCCTCGTTCCGTTTCCCCTCCCCACCCCACCCTCTTCTCCCCTCCCCCCTATACCTACAATCA